CTGCCTCTTCCTCTACCCCTTCCTCTTTGAGACATAGAAGCAGATCGATCCAACTGTGCATGCTCTTCTGTCCCCAATGGACAATCTCTCATGAAATGTCATGTTTCCCCGCATCGGAAACAAGATCCAGATTTAACTCTACACGTCCTACCGTGATATCTTCCATAAGTCTGACAATGTCTCTGTTGTGCTCTTCCATCACCAGACCCTACTGATTGGGCCTGTCTAGTTCTTGTCTGATTTGATTCTCTAACGGAGGATACCACCGATCCAGTCCTTGCCTGAGACTGAAAACCAGAATCTCTACCTCTCTTGGGTGGTGCAGAACTCGATGAAGCCCCTGTTCTTTTAGAGGGTTGGATTCTTTGATCCCCAAACCTTTCATTCTGAGCTCTCTCTAGAGCTTTAGCACGATTTACTATTTCTTGAAACTAAGACAAGTTCAGCACTATTAACATTTCTTACAACCTCGGGCCCAAACCCTCTACAAACCACTCACACGCATCCCTCTCTGTTGGGACCAACTCAGTCACAAAATGACTTAACTTATTAAACTCGCACTCGTACTCATACACTGTGTGATTCATCTGTTTCAAATTCAAGAATTCTTGCTTTATTTTCTGAATAAACTGGTCTCCTATATACTTGTGCTTAATTCTTCTAAGAATAAAGACCAGGTCACTTGATCACTTGTCAATCTCAGAGTAACATTCGTCCACCAAATTCTAGCTTGCCCACGAAGCAAGGAGATCACTCCATCTAATTTCTCCACATTTGAACAGTGAAGTCCTTCTAACATAACCTTTACATCATTAAGCCAAAGGTCTGCGGTAACAGGACCTTCTTCGGCTTCACCCCTAAACTCTTTCAACTCCTTTACAACATTTATTCTTGGAGTTGAAGTAGCAGGAGGTTGGAAACACGTCAATACAACATCTAATGTTCTAAAGAACACATCTTGATCAGCTATAGGCACTCCAGAAAGTACATGTTCTTCACCTTGCCGGGCCAGGGCAGGTGAATTACTACTTTCAGCGGGCCGATCATCTCCCGCTTGACATCGAGAACTATCATGTCCGGACATCTATAAAAACATACCCATATCATTCTATCAGCAAAACAACACACTTACTATTATATCAGATCAGAAGTTTTCACTCATTTGTTGGCATGTATACTTTATAAAACACTCTAGACTTCGGTTTATGCCGAGAATCGACTAAATCGTAGCTCTGATACCATTAAATGTAACACCCTCAACTCGTATCCGACCCAGATACAAGTCTGAGGTGTCACATTGACTTTTCAAACTTTAATTTTTGACGAAAACCAAGGAAATTTAAAACTTTTATTAAAATAACATTTTTATTGTACACGAGTTAACCAAAACAAGACAAAACTGATCAGAACATTTGTAACTAACACTTTTCTTACATGCTAACACTATACACGACAAAAGACATACTTTATCCGTTACTTCTTATCTGATCTTCTAGCAGTGCTGTTGTTCTTGCCACTCCTATTTTTGTTCTTCTTGATTCTTGGTACCTACGTGTAAATCACTTACACGCTAAGTCACAGACTTAGTGAGGCAATAAATATATAATGTAACTTTAACTAGCAATCATACATAAACAATTATTACCATTATTTCACACAACTCATATACTTTTACCTCCTATTCCTATGATCTTTTATATACCTATCATATATCACACATAACATTTCACAAGGAAATAAACATATCATCATATTCAGTTTATTAATATTATCTCTTTATTAGCCCATGATACACATGTGAGAACTGTAGATACGTGAGTCTATTGAGGTTGTGCACCACTATGCTGTAACCACAGCTCGTATAAATGTCCCGAAGGACCTATCCAGAGGTTATAAAGATCCTCAGTAACTATCCAGATGTCGTAAAGATCCTCGGTAAACTGTCCATATGTTCCTTAGAACATAGGTAAACCCTCGACTCTTGGCATGCCAACTATACCTCTAGCTCTCAATACACATAACATGGGCATTTTTCATTTATACACTTTTATTGCTCTTATGATCACATATTACTTTTCTTCTGTCACATATCACATGTGCATATAGTCACATGGTTTACTTTCATGTCACTTTTCATGTAAACATATGATTCACTTTCACGTATCATATATACTTTCTCTTTCATATAACTCATGTCTTGTGATCATTTAAACACGTATCACATAAAATAACATGTCAAACCTATCATTCCACTGATACAATATTCTCATATATTCCTGTAGTTCAGTATCATATATCATATGAATCATACAAATCATGTCACATATTCTCATGCATACATAGAATTCACAAATCAAATAACATTTGACGAGTTACTTATTACCATAGTAACTCCGTCACTGGCTCATCGCAAGCCAATGCTTATTCGATAACATAAGTACAATAAAATTGCACTCACCTTAGCCTTGCTTGCTTTGGTTTGATTCTAATTCTTCAATTATTCCGGAACAAGCTTTCATTCTATATCTACATAATAATAACACATTGATAAATATCAATATACTAATTGATATATTCTAAACTATCACTTCATAGGCTAGAAGAAAGCCATTTTTAACTTTTAATGAAGGCATGCATCGATGCAATACACCATGTATCGATGCATCCCTGGACAGGTGCATCGATGCACTATCCATGCATCGATGCATAAATCCTATTCGATGTTTGCGTTTTAAGCAGGTGCATCGATGCACTCCTTATGCATCAATGCACTAATTGCATTCGATGTTCATTTATTTGAGAGTGCATCGATGCACATTGAAGATGCATCGATGCACACAACCTAGAAATAATACTTTGAGCACGGAAATCCCTTCTTTATTCTCTCAACTCTTCATATTTCATCCCTTTTTCTATTCTTAACTCTTATACACCTATTTAGACTAATCTATACTCATTTATTTCATCTTAAACTCCAAAATCCTATCCTCATTATGAGATTCAAGAATTATACCAACTTTGCAACATGATTTAATTCCACTTCTAACACTTCATATGTCTTAACTAGATTGATGACAAGTCAAATCCAACTTCCAATTCTAATTATCAACTCTATATCAAAATTTCATTCAAGAACTCCAAATCTTTAATCTTCCCTAACTCTTTTATCTTTTGATTTTAAGATAACTTAAGCTTTCCTTAAGCTTAGTTATCATCTAACGATCAAAACCCAAACCTTAAATTAACAAATAATTAACATATCAAAAAGCTTACCTTTGCTTGGCTCTCTTTCACGTATGAAGAAGAAGAAGAAAGAAGAAAGCTTTGGAGAAATCTCTCCTTCCCACGTGTATATATCATTACCAATATCCCATTTTTAATTCATTTCTTAATCAAATGACCCTTTTGCCCTTTAATACCTTTTATAATTACTAGCATCTTTAAGGTAATATTTCCAAATAAATCATTGAACTTTTCAACTATTCCATTTTAATCACCAAATCCTGAAATATTACAATTTGGTCACTAACCCGGTATTGAGGATGTTACACACTCACCTGATATGCCTCACTAGTATGCTTTAATGATATCCGACTATTCGACAACTTTATCATTGCCCTTTTTCTTGCTTGACTTAGGATCTTGGTTACGATCTACACAAGCATCCATAATTACACATTCAATACAAATGTTAGTATACTTTCTAACATTTATATATCTAATAATACTCAAAAGTACTATTATTTTCGAATTCTATTTAATTTCATCCTATCTTAAAATTTCAAACCAACTGGTGTCGGTACAATTGCTATGGTATCGATGCTTCTATACTATGGTACCGATTCTCCCTTCAGTGAGGTACCATTTTTGCATTCTGGAATCTATAGTATTGATACATTCCTCTTAGTATTGATACCCCAACGCAGTATTGATATTGTTCATCATTTTCATCCTCTTTCCTCAAATTTAATCCTATAGTATCGATATTGTTCTTCCAGTACTGATACCCTTACCCAAATTTTTCATATTTCACTTCGATTTTTACCCAAATTTCGTTTAAATCTCTTACTTTTATCTCCAACTATACCATTAAACTCATCATCACTTGACCTAACTAACTTACCTCCATTAATCTTCCTATAACATCTAAAATATCTAAAGAACTCTCCAAACTAAGAATCACACTAATTTTTTAAACATGTTTTTAATCACTTCTAAGGCTCCCAATCACTTATTTACTTTTGACAATTCAAATATATTTTTAAACTTCAATAAAAGATCAGATTTCATCATATCATTTAAAAACTCATTTTCTTAAATCTCAAATAATTCACTAATCACTTAGTTTTATTTACTCTTAAGCTTTCCTTAAGCTTCTATATCACTTAAGGCTTTAAAATCAACCCATAAACTAAAGGAAAACCCAACTTCAAGAAATCTTACATTTGACTATAGGAAAGCACGGGGACGAGAAAAAGGAGAAGAGAACCAAGTTTGCCAGCTTTTTACCATTTCCCTTTTCCAACCTTATTAAATATCCTCATTTAAATGAATATTAAATTCATTCATTCTAAAAGACCAAATTGCCCATATATTCTTAATAATTAGCCTTAAACACCATTTTCTAAATCATTATTTATACTTAACATCTATTTAATTTAATCCTCCAAATTTTAAATCCTTTCATTAAAGTCACTGACCCGATATTTGGGGTTTTACAGTTTTCTAGCAGTATTAATTTAAAATTGTTTATTTCAAAAAAAATTCAAAATTGTTAAAAACAGATAATTAAAATTAAAAATTTATATATTTGTATTTTTTTGAAAAAATGTTTTATTTTTGAATTGTATATCATAACTATATATAAATAATTTTAAATTATAATACTCCTTCGAACGCAGATTAGATCAACTGTGCGTCTTGACCACTCCAATTTGAATCTTATTTAAGAGGCAGTGAGATTAAATTTGCAGGCATTTAGGCACATTAGGTGGTGAACATTAAACAAAATTGAAAAAGCACCGAAAATGTGTGGAGCAAGGCTCGATGCTTCTCCGTTAATCGACAAACCAAATCGTTTGATTCAACAACTCCTGACGTAGTTCATTCATTCGCTTCACTGCAAAAATTCCATTCTTCCCCCATCTAGATTCAAAACGTAGAACAAATAAATGGTTGAACGAGAAAAAACGAGGACGGACGACGTTCCGTTGGACGACAAGGCCAAGAGAATGAGAGATCTACTGTCCAGCTTCTATAATCCAGACCATTCTTCGGCTCCCAAACCTCCTTCAGATTACGAGAACTTAGATGCCATCAATTCCACCTCTTTTGATCCCGATCACTACATGAACGTCCTTGTACGTTTCTCCTAATTCTCTTGATCCTAATCACGTTTTAAGATTAACGGAATCTAATACTAGATTTATAGAATTCAACTATTCGGAATGCAGTCCGTTTGGATTATTGCTGTCTTAGATTGGGTTTGAATTGGGAGGTTCGATCCTTTACAGCATGAATTGGATTAAATCTGTAGGTACAAAAGTCGAATTTGGAAGGGCTTCTTCGGAGGCACGTCGAAATGGCAGCTGAAATCAAGAATCTCGACACTGATTTGCAGATGTTGGTCTACGAGAATTACAACAAGTTTATCAGTGCCACGGATGCAATTAAATGGTAATTTCACTCCATCTTTAAAATCGTTAGTTAACAATTTCCTTTTCCGGTATTTTTAACGAGGGAGTAATGGAATAGGGTTTATCAACATACATTTCCCATGGAAATTATGTTATTGTTTTTTGTTTCATCAAGATTATGATGTTGTATTAATTGTATTCAACCAATATATACAGATTGTTTATGAAACCCAACTCAAACTTTGGTTTCTAACAGGATGAAAAGTAATATTGTAGGCATGCAAGCTGATATGGAGCAACTTCTTGACAAGGTGTGTTAGAATATTTTCGTAAGTAAATTTCTTTTAGCAATGCATTTAGATTTAAGAATATATGTAAAGAGAGGATTACTGCAAAGATTTTTTTTTTTATTATTGCAGATAATGTCGGTACAATCTAGAAGTGATGGGGTCAATACTTCACTTTTTGAGAAAAGAGAACACATAGAGAAGTTGCACCGGACAAGGAATCTTCTGCGTAAAGTTCAGGTATTAAAAAACTATCAAATGTTCATGGTAACTTGTTAGCAATGTGACAATGGTTATAGAACTAAACTGAAGGCATGTTATCCAGAGGTAGCAAACTAGAAATATTTTATTAGCAAAAGCTTGTATTAGATATACGGTTTTCAGTGTTACTACTTGAATTAGAAGGTACTAGTGGAAAATTCAAATAGGATGATTATAATGTTACTTTCTGTTTATATATGCATTGTTGATCTCCCAAAATTCTCTTTTGGGGAAAAGTACAGTTCATTTATGATCTTCCCGCTCGACTTTCTAAATGCATCAAATCAGAAGCATATGCTGATGCAGTCAAGTTCTACATTGGAGCAATGCCAATTTTTAAGGTCATTCTTGCTTGCCTTGTTCTTCGATTTTGTATATTAGTTTTGTTCTGATACATATTTTGCTTTTATGCCATAAACTCATATTCAAACAATCTGCATATATATTCGTTTTCCTTGCCAGGCATATGGAGATTCATCTTTCCAGGACTGTAAAGGAGCATCAGAAGAAGCGATTGTTACAGTAGTAAAAAACTTGCAGGTATATCTGTCAATGTGTTTTTGCTTATCATAAAAGAAATTTGTAGTGCTTGATAAAAAATTCTTCTCAGGCAAAGCTATTCTCAGATTCTGAATCAATTCAAGCTAGGGCTGAAGCTGCAGTGCTTTTGAAGCAGTTAGATTTTCCGGTTTGTATTGAAACTTTCGGATTAGATTTTAAATTAGTTTAAAGCTTAAACACCACATGAAAGTGCATTAGCAAAAAATTGAAAAGTTGTCACTTGATTTTTATCTGTTTGACAAATACATATGCATGACGCATAATATATGTAATTGGGCAGGTGCATAGCTTACAGGCAAAACTCCTTGAAAAGTTAGAGCAATCTCTCGGGGACCTTCAACTGAAAACTGTTAGAATTGAGAATATTTTACGAGAGTCTAATGATCCTTCTAAACAGGGAAAACCTTTTGAGTCAATTCCTAGTACAGGTCACGAGGTAACTGAACTGAAAGTAGCATTTTGAAGGCTAGTTAGATAGGAAGTAGGGTGGATAAAGGAATTGGAAAAGGAAAAAAGAAATTTGTTTTTGTGCAAAGCAAATGCATGGCTTTCTGAACCATGTTAATTTTCTATAATGCAAGTTCTTTGTGAGACTCATCTTGTCTTGGGGAATCAAGCCATCAACGTTTAATGGTTCATTTTTTCAATACTAAAGATGATGCGTAATTCAGTGGAATGCATGAAATATTTTACTACTGCATTACAATTCTAGATTCTACAATGGCAAATAACTATGAATTTCTTCAACATCCAACATTTTCTTAGTATTACATATATTGGTATGTGACTAGATGATTTTCAAACTTATCTCCAATTTAATTAGCCCTTAGAACTCTGTTTTTGTGTTTGTAGTTCTTTATTGTGGTTAAACTAGTCGTCCCCAGCATCCTTAAAACAAAAGGAGGGTGGAGGTAATATGAGGGTAGAAAAGTGCCATATAGACTGATGAAGGCCCTTTTCAATTATCTAAAATAGGTTTCTGTCCATGGATTTGCGGAGGCTATTCGTGCTTATCGAGTAATATTTCCTGATTCCGAAAGTCAACTAATTAAACTTGCACAAAACTTGGTCATCAAGTAAGCAGATCCCTTAGAATTCCCCTTGTTTTACAAGTTCTAGTTCTACTGTTTCTCATAATAAAAAACATGATAATGTTTCACTCAAATGTTTCCTTTTCTTTAGGCACTTTGAAATGATCAAGCAATGTGTAAAGAGACGAATTTCTTCTGCCAATTTCCTTGGTGCTCTTCGTAAGTAGTGTGCATTTGCTTTTTCTTTCTCCTACTCTTCATGATTTCTGCAGTGCAACCCCTAGCATGTAACAAAACTAACCCAAAAGTCTTAATCATTATTTGCAAAATCCCATTCTAAAAATGTCTGCATAAGTCAAATAATTTATCATCTTCCTTGACACTTAGAGGTGTCTTTAGCATATCATTCTTGATGGTGTGCTTGTTAAAAGTATGCCCCAACTAAAACCGAGGCTTCTTTTATGTCCACTAAGATATTGATTCTTGATAAAGCATTGTTTTTTTCATAATGATGTGAATATAAATGTATTTGTTCTTTTGCTTTGATATTGACTTGCTGGTTGCAGTTTTTTATTATATTTTTTATTCTTATTTTGCAACTTAAAATTATTTAACCTTTTCATGTCCATTACCAAATCCATTGCAGGGACTATATGGACTGATGTGCTTCTGATGGACGAAGTCTTAAGTGAGGCTTCTCTAGCTGATTTTTCTCTAGAGGTCTTTCTTGAGTTTCACGTGAACTCGTTTTCTTTCTAATCTGTTGCATTTTCCCCTCACTTTAATCCAAGTACAAAGATACGCATTTTTCATATTAAGGGATGGAGCTCCATCTAATGATATTCTGTGTGGTCTCAGGCTGGTCAAGTAACTGTTAAAAAGTATGTTGCCAGCACATTTACTTACCTTCTGCAGGACATATCAGGTTATTTTACTATTCATTGTCCTGAAAAATGTATATACCCTAACATAGCTTAGCAAAATCATATTTATTATCTGCCACTTACTACTGTAACTGATCTAGAATTAATTCCATAGCAGCGGCATGAATATTTTTCAAATGCATGTTTAGTTGGCAGTTATTTATGGAAAATGATTGATTCAGTATTTGTTAAGCCACATATAGCCTTTTATATGCGTATATTCTTCATAAACTTCTAAAAGTTTGCAAATTTGACTAAACTTGTTTTTTTTATCATTTTAGATTTATTTGATTAAAACTACCTTAAGTTTGAGTTCATTCTGTTCGATTTGCAGATGCCCTCTTGAAAGTAAAGGTTAGCCCAAAAGAGGAAGCAGAGGAGCATGCCTTGAAGCTTGCTTTGGAGGCCAGCAAAAAAGCCGTGCTCCAAGGCAGCATGGATCTCTTACTGGTAACTCATGAGATGCCGACTAGAGTTGTTTCATGCATTCATAAACAACTGAAAATTTGCATCTCTTGTGTGCTACTTCATGTAAACAATGCATGTCCATCTTTTATATTCTTCATTTGGATTGCATATAACTGAATTTAGAAATGCTTGATATACTTCCTAGATTGAAAAATAATATTAATATGGCTGCAATTTTACAGTGATTATGTATGTTGCCGTTTAATTTTTTAGTTACCCTTTTTTCTTTTTCGAACTTGTACATTTTACATTCTACATTTTGATTGTTCTTTGCGTATGTGTTTATCATATACGGTTAATCTATTCATTGAACTTTCTTTTTAACCTATTCGTTCACTACAGGATTTTCGCCAACTTCTTGATGATGACTTAGGGCTGCTAGTTAAACTGAGAGAATTTATAGTTGATTGGGTTCAAAAAGGATTTCAAGACTTTTTCAGGGCTCTTGATGATCGTTTTCTCTTACTTTCTGGGAGAAAGAATCCATCAAGTCAAGATCAAGGATTGTCAGAGGGAGCTCCTGGTGAGAAAGTTCTTGTTGGTATTGTCCTGGTGCTGGCTCAGCTTTCTGTCTTCTTTGAACAAACCACCATCCCAAGAATTTCCGAGGCAACTTTTTCTCTTCGCCTAATAACTTCACCCTCACAGCTGACAACTATTTCAAAATCTGAAGCGGAATACTTATAGTTCTCTTATTACTGTCTTGGACTCATTCAATTTTTTCATGTTTTATTCTCAGGAAATAGCTGCTTCATTCTCTGGTGATGGGGCTCGAGGCTACGAAAATGAACATGCCTTTGCTTCTGGGGAGATACGTCAAATATTCCGGTCTGCCGCTGAAAAGCTTTTGCATCATGTAGGACTTAGTTCTCTTCTTCAGTTTGAATTTATCGAAATTAGTACTTAAGCTGGCATTCGCTACCTCAAGGGAGCACATATTTTTTGCGATCTTATTTTCTAGCATTGCATGGACCATTTCATATATACTTCATTTAAAGCAAATCCAATTATTCCATTATTAATTATAAGTTCATTTTGCATTTTTCAGTATATAAATATGAGAACTCAAAGAGTATCCACTTTGCTAAGAAAGAGGTTCACAACACCAAACTGGGTTAAGGTTAGTATACTGTGTGCTATGGTCCTCAATTTGAAAGAAATTCCCATCACAAAAACAGTTGAAGTTTTCAATAATATCTTATTTTTAATATTTGCAGCATAAGGAGCCTAGAGAAGTTCATATGTTTGTTGATCTATTTGTGCAAGAGGTTAGTGTCTTTAAACATTTCTGATTTCACACGGATATTATCTTAATATTCTCCCTATATAGCGTACTTCTAAATATTCGGACCATGCAGAACTTCTAAATTGCATTATGCTTGATCTCATAATTCTTTGGTCTAGTTGAGAGCAGTACAAAGTGAAGTGAAGCAAATTTTGCCGGTAGGGCTCATGCGTAAGCATCATCGGTCCGACAGCAACGGAAGCACAAACTCATCACGCAGCAATGCATTACTAGATGACAGAATGACACAGAAAGGCAGGAGCCAGCTCTTGGAAACACATCTAGCAAAATTGTTCAAGCAAAAAGTTGAAATATTTACAAAAGTTGAATCCACACAGGTATTACCTGTGAATTTTTGTGCTAATGGGAAAAATGTCATTTTGCTGCTATTTGAAACAAAATGAACCTAGTTTCATTGTAACTGCAGGAGTCGGTTGAAACAACTATAGTAAAACTTTGCCTTAAAAGTTTGCAAGAATTTGTCAGGCTCAAGACTTTTAATCGAAGTGGCTTCCAACAAATTCAGCTGGATGTCCAGTTCTTAAGGACTATATTGAGGGAAATCATAGAAGTTGAAGATGCGATCGACTTTTTACTTGACGAGGTATGAACTCCGATCTTTCCATGTTATATGACTGTGTATTGCTCGTTTCTATCTGATTTTTGTTTAGCTGGTAACCAAATGAGGATGCGGGTGTAATACGTTTGGTAGGTGATTGTTGCTGCTTCAGAGCGTTGTTTTGACCCGGTTCCTCTAGAGCCTCCAATTTTGGACAAACTTGTCCAAGTGAAGTTAGCAAGATCAAAGGAACAATCCAAATAACCCCCTGGACTTTGGTAGGTGGATTTGCTATGAATGGCCCCGATTCTTTTTTGCTCGAATTATAATTTTCTCGATCGTCATATGCAATTTTTTAGATGATGTAATTCATTAGTCAAAAAGTTCATTTGAATTTATGGAGATTTTATTTGAAATGACAAAAATGTATAAAAACATTTCAGTTATCTAAGCATGGATTGAAAAGGTCCATTTAGCTCGTGGGTATGTGATCTATCTCATCTCATACATTAAAATTCATAGCACCCACGTTATTACGTTAATGTGCCTGGTAATCCGTTTAGCACCCACGTTAATGTTCCGTTATAATTCTACCTCAAAAGCCTGTTTAAAACTATGCACACCCCCTATATCCCAATTATTATATTTCAATCTTAATGCAGTTTAATTATTTTAAAACCAATGGCAAAAATGTAAATAGGTTATCATTAATAAATAAATATATATATATATATATATAAGTCATTAATTTTATTAGAAATAGGAAGTATCCTAAATTACAATCATAATCGTAAATTAAGCACATAGTTATGACAATTTCCTGTAATCATTGAAACAATAACTAGCACTTAATATCACATACGGAGTATACAATGAAAGATTAAAAATCTAATCAAGAAACTCCAAACAGAGATAGATACAAACATATCTTATTGCATCGACAAACGAATCATAAAAGAGAATTAAGCTACTAAAAGACCACTAACAAACTGCAAATCAGACTCGAGTGATGTGAAAAGATGTCCACGAACGCAAATCGGGTTTCCAAATCCAATTTGAGAGTCCAAACCAGGGAAGATCAACGAGATAATAGACAATCGTCATATTGATCAATCGTGATGATGTCAAATCTGTAATATCCCAGATTTTGGACTAGTGATTGGAATGTAAAACGTGAAAGTTTGGGGACCAAAGTGTAAAATTAAAAAAGTTTAGGGACTAAAAATGTATATTTTGGGTCTGTAAATAAGTATTTCAGCCCAATACAATTATTATAGTGGGTTTTAAAATTTTGATCTAGAATTTGCATAAAAGTTTATTAAATGATAAAGATCAGAAGGATATTCGGATAATCAGATCGGAAGCTTACAAAAATTTGAAGGAATGTAGTTTTGGGTTAGAAAAATTATATTTATATTTTTAATTAGTAGAATTTTAAGTGGATTGATGGAATTTGTTGGAAATTTCATTATAAAGTGGAATAGTGCAATTTAGTGACTAAATTGAATTTTTGGAAAATTGAAAGGGCAAAGAGGGAAATTGATAAGGGGTTTTTTTATTTTATTTTTCATTTTTGATCCAATTTATTGAGTTTTGGGACTAAGATGTGAAATAATAAAATTACCTACACTAAATTCTCTATAAATTGGTATAAGTATTGCTTTATTTCATGTTAAAATGTGGGTATTTATGGTGGATGAAGGGGAAGTTGATTTTGATTGAATTAAGGTTGAATTTGAATCTTAAGAGCGTTATGGATGAATAACTAAGCATGAAAGTTGATTAAAAATGCTTGGAGGGACTAAAGTGAAATTCTCGTTCATATTGGGATTTCATGAGTAATGGTTGAATTTGATGTGTTTGATATTGGAATGGTTGGAAATTGTTTGAGGAATGAATTTGGATGATGATCTAAGCTTGAAATCAAATTGGAGATAATTAGGGGACTACTTTGAAAGTTTTGGTTAAAGTGAAGGGTTATTAGGAAATTTTTGTAAAAATTTCCTAATGGTTTAGATTGAATTTGAGAATGATTCTAGGTTCTTGAAATGATGTTTGGGATCAAATTGGAACCTTGTTAGATGTTGAAGACCTTTTAGTAAGACTTAATAATTTTAAAGGGTTAATGTGCAATTGTTAAGGAATTGAGGTCCTATGCTGAAATTTAGTATTAGAACATTAAATTGGACTGATTTGGAAGAGTTTATGAGTTTAGGGACCCATTTGTAAGTTGGAGAAAGCTTAGTGGTGAAATGATGGAAGTACAAGATTAAAGGAATAATGGGTAAAGAATGGAACTAGAGGGACTTAGAAGGTTTAAAAGAAGTAAAGTTGATTTAAATCAAGGGAGAGAAATTAATTTTGAATATGTCTCGATCGTATTTTTTTAGAAATTTGTTTGAGTATATGATTATAATATTAGTTAAACTACTAACGTACATTGAAATTTGTTTACGATGGGGAAATGATCGTCGTGAAGATTGCGATTGAAATTTGGAACGGAGCGAGTTGAAAGATAGAGAATAAGATCGAGAGTAATCGATAGTAACAGTAGAAAGCTAGTGAGACAACAGGTGAGTGCAGTTAACATTTTAACGAAATAATACGAGAAAGGCTTGCGATGAGTCAACCTCGACCGTTTTTATAGAAAAAGGTTTTAAAATAGTATTTTTGAATATAAATTTTATTAATTTATTTTACTTCATACTATATGATTGTTTTATGTATGAATTGCCCAATATAGTTGTTATGAGATTTTATTTGAATCGAACATATGAATTTTTAATATGTAAAATAATATATGATTTGTGATAAGCCCATTATATGTACAATTGGCATGTCAAGAGGTGGAGTGAATAAGTACAAGCATACACCAATATAGATTACTCATGAGACTCGTGTACCACAGTGGTGCCGAGGTGGAGTGATCTAGTGCAATCTACAAGATATTTCATATGTTATTTGATATGACACAGTTACTCATAAGACTCATGTGCTTTAGTGATACACGAGGTAGAGTAACTCAGTGCGTTTTACGAGTACTACTGTAGCAGTTTCGACTGCATATTGGGCCCTCACTTATATGACTCACGTACCATAGATTCTCATAATAGTATAATGGCCAAAGATACAAACTAAAATAAAATATACAGATTCGATACATAGTTTAAAGTAAAGAATTTTGATAATTGTTTCTATTTTATGCCTGATTTATTCTACTAATGCTTTTATGTGATGTTGTTTATTTAATACGTTGTTTTATTTCCTTTATTATTTGTTCGTTATTGCAATTGGTAAGTTAGATGTTCCCTTTAAAAGTGGAAGCCCCAGAATTGGTCTGCTATCTGAAGTCAAATACAACTAGCTTTAGATGCCGCATGATTCTAAGTACGGTTTATTATTTTCTAGTCAGGCTTACTATTGTTATTAAAGGATAAATTTGTTGCAAGAGCTTTTTCTAGCGTTTTTATATTTTGTTCTTATGATATCCATGCAAGAGATATTGTTTAGCATGCTCTGTCATGCATTATGCTGTTTAAATTGTGGAAGCACCTACTCTGTTCAGGATAAGTATAACTGTGCTGGCTGATGCTCACTTTTTTTTTTTCATTCAGTGAAGTTTATATCAAAGCACCTTCGAAGGGGAGGCCATTCTCCATTAGGGAGGTGAAGGCTTCATATATTGGCCAGCTTGTAAGAATAGCTGGTATTGTGACTCGTTGTTCAGATGTTAAGCCTCTGATGCAGGTGGCTGTATACACATGTGAAGAATGTGGCTGTGAAATTTATCAGGTAACTAACTATTGTTATTTTTTATATCTAAATATTAATTGTTTCTTTGCCAATAAGGATAGGCTGAGTTTCTAAGGGTCATATACATCACTTGTAATGCTTGCATTATTGTCTTGCCATTTGTGTGCCAAACAGGATGTAACCGCTCGAGTATTCATGCCGTTGTATCAGTGCCCATCAATCCGTTGTTCAGTAAACAAGACGAAAGGGAACCTTATACATCAACTTAGAGCATCCAAGTTGTTGAAGTTCCACGAGGTTCTAGTTTAACATAGTTTATTAAGATACAATAATAGCATGGAATCTCTGTGTACTCTTTATAATGTGTAAGATTAAATTTTCCAGGCCAAGATTCAAGAGTTGGCAGAGCATGTTCCCAAAGGCCACATTCTACGGACAATGACAGTTCATTTTAGAGGAGAAATAACGAGAAAGGTTGGTTTTCATGTTAATTACATGTAATCAAAGTACCAAAAGATTTTTCATAAATTTTCTACATGTACACGTTGCACCTGTTTCCTTTTCCCTTTTCACCCCTTGTAACACTACATTGCATGGCTGGAGACATCACATCCTGTTCATAATGAAATCTAACTCAGGTGTGCTAATAACGTGTTTGTCTTACCTTCATCCAATTCAGTTTTCCCCAGATGATGTTGAATTATGAGGTATCTTTCTTCCTATTCCATACACCGGATTTAGGGCAATGCGCGCTGGATTAGTTGCAGATACATATTTGGAAGCCATGTCTGTCACTCATTTCAAGAAAAAATATGAAGAGTAAGCCACTTTCCTGATCTAGTCAACAGAAGGCATATCACATGTCTAATGTATGTAGCATATGAAGATACTAACTTTTTTACCCATATTTATTTATTTATTTATTTATTATTATTATTATAAAAAAAATAATTACAAGCCTAAATCAAAGGCCCAATCAATCGGCCCAGACCAAAATGAAACCCTAAACATTTAGGGTTTTAGCTAGGGTTTCTAACCCTAGCGTCGCAGCCGCCTCTCCAGCTGCCAGAGACCATTGTCGACGATCAGCTGCCAGATGCTCGAACCCACTTCAGCCACGACGCCGCCGCCTCGCTGAAGACTCCAGAAGCTTTGCTGCTTCAACACCCGCCGCCCACGTCGCAAGCTCTAGGGGTGAGTCACCACATAGCTCGGTGACTCACCGAAAGCCTCCTAAGGGACCGGTCCGACGAAAGCCTCGGTGGTGGCTATAAAAGCCACCACACCTGCAAAATAAAGAAAGAAAGAAGGCAACCACGACAACCAACAGAAAAAAAGAAGAAGCAAAAACAGAGAACAAAAAAAAAAGACAAAAAGCAAACCACAAAACAAAAAGAGAAGAGCGAGAGAAACTTACCGGGGAAGACAACGCCTTGATCGGAGTCACCACCGGCCTCCAAACGTCACCAAAAACCTTCGAAAACCGAAGGTATTTTCCTAGATTTGCTCCGATCGGGAGCTATTTAAAAGAAAGGAACACCGGAACCGTCATTAGGACGGTCCGATCTACGTTGTGGTGTAAAAATAAATTTTTCCGGGCACCGGATGCGGTGGCCGGCGGTGGGAAT